TATCGGTAATAAGTATGTAATCACGCCAGTAGGATGAAAACATTTTGTAGAGAGCTCTCTTGCGACTGTTAAACCTTTTCTTTAAATGTGTTTTTTAGCACCGGCATATTTGAAAGAACAGTAATTATGCAGTGCAAGTTGTAAATCTGTTTACGCGAGGAAAAAATAGGACTCGCCTGACAAAAGACTTGCCTCTGCAAGTAATTTCTTCTTCACTTTCACATTCACGAGAACACACCCATGCTAGCACACTGTTATTATATGTACAAAACAAACATCACATTCACACAAGCACAATTCTGTGGTCCTTAACCTGCCACATGTATGTCACGATCTACAATAAAATGCTATATATACTGCCAGCTAGACTTCAAAAGTTGCTTAAATTAATATTACCACTAATGGTATTACGAGTATACTAATTCTAGTACTTGTTAAGTCTACAACGATTTAATTTTAAGAAGCACTGAGCCAGCAAATAAATGCGTGCATAAGATATTGTAACTCAGCTTTAAAAGTTTTGACTCCAGCAACTGCAAGTACACTATAGTGCCAAAAGCATTCGCTCATCTGCCTTCACACGCATATGAACTTGAGTGATATTTCATGACCCTTGCTGCTGTAAAAGCTTCAATTCTTCTGTGAAGGCTTTCCGCGAGGTTTAGGAGTGTGTTTGGTCAAAAATTCCCAACATTCTTCAAGAAGCGCATCTGTGAGGTCAGACACTGATGTTAGACGAGAAGGCCCGCTTGTAGTCTTGGCTCTACTTCATCCCAAAGGTGTTCTGTTGGGTTGAGGTCAGGACTGTACGGGCCAGTCAAATTCTTCCACACACACTCACTTATCTATTCTTTTTGGACCTTGCTTTGTGAACTGATGCGCAGTCATGTTGAAACAGAAAATGACAATCCCCAGACTGTTCCCACAAATTTGGGAGCATGAAATTGTCCAATATCTCTTGGTGTGCTGAAGCATTAAGAGATCCTTTCACTGGAACTAAGAGACCCAGCCCAACTCCTGAAAGACAAGCCCAAACCATAATCCCCCTCCACCAAACTTTACAGTTGGCACTACGTAGTCAGACAAGTACCGTTCTCATCTCGTCTCTCATCTCAAACCCAGACTCATGTCTTGGATTGCCAAACAGTCTGATTTGTGACTCCAGACAAACACGTATCCACTGCTTTAGATTTTAGTAGGTGGTTTACATCCATTATTGATGATGGATGTACCCATTCCATGAAGCTTTCTACGAACTGTTCTTGAGCTGATCTGAAGGCCACATGAAGTTTGGAGATCTGTAGGAGAGTGACTCTGCAGAAAGAAAGAAATTACATGCTCACTGAGCTCTTGAGGTCAAAACATTTATTCCTTACAGCCGTATTAACTCAAGATCTGTTTCAATTGCCTGCGCAATAGCTGGTATTAAAGTTTGTGAGCAGAAAATGCTCATATTTGAGCATCTGACCTTATGTTGGAAGTTTTCCAAGCTAACCTTGGAAACTTTACCAAATCAAGAATTATCCAAAACTTGTCTGAACTAATGGTCTGTTGGAACCTGCTGTTAAGTCAAAAAAGGACAGCGATCAGAATTTGGGTTATTAATTGACATTTCCTCATTACGAGTTAATAGTTATGTAATCATCCGATTAATGTAATTATTTCCCTGCCACTCGACAGCTTCTTTGGCTGCTTCGGCAAAAAGCACTCATCATGTCCAAAGGTACGGTGGTTCTGGCTTACAGTGGTGGACTGGACACCTCCTGCATTCTGGTCTGGCTCAAGGAGCAGGGCTATGATGTCATCACCTACTTGGTAAGGTTTGAAGCCATGCACGCAACAGTTGGTTTAGTTTTATGCTGCCAGGCTTTTGCATGTTGTGTCCTTTTTGTTGTACAGTTGGCTTTATAAAGGGTTACAGGTGTTCACTGTGGTCTGTTAAGACCTACCGTTTTGGGTATCTCTGCATGGGTCAAAAGGTTTGGATTCATAATGACAGCTCAAATCTGCCTGGATTTGCGTTTTACCCTACAGCCACTCAGAACTGCACAGTAGGCAGATTTTCCGACTGTCTAACTTCATTTAGTGATTTTTTTAGGTCAGTGGGGGTGGGTGTCAGCCAAAGGTTCATAGCTGTTGAACAGGATGTACACCTCGGCTCTAGCTCTTCAGTGGAGTAAAAGGAGACACTCATCCAGTACATGCAGTGTTGGGAAGGTTACTTTTAAAATGTATTCCATTACAGATTACAGAATACATGCCCCAAAAAGTATTCTGTAACGTATTCTGTTACATTACTCAATGAGAGTAACGTATTCTGAATACTTTGGATTACTTAATATATTATCATGCTGTTTACAACTA